CAAGATGGATCAGAGACCTGGGAGTAAAGCCTAAAACCTTAAAGTTCATCAGGGACAAACTAGGATCAAGCTTAGAAGTTCTAGTCTATGGTATAAAGAGACTGCCAAATACAGCCAGAAATGTACAATCTGAAGAGGATAAATTTGATGCATGGAACCATGTAAAGATGAAATCCATGTGTGCATTAAAAACCAACAGGGTGAAAGAAACCCTACAGACTGGGAACATTTGGTAATACCATCTCAGCCAAGAGTCTTATAAAAGAACTTTACAGAATACTTCTGGGCCTCCACAATAAAAAGAATGATTAACCAATTACAAAATGGGCAAAAGACAAGGAAAGAATTTTCACAGAGGAAGATAGGTGAATGGCAAACAGACGCATGAAGAAATGCTCAAAATTACTGCAATAAGAGAGATGCAAATCAAGACCACAATGAGGTACCATCTCACTCCAGTAACAGTGGCAAGGTTTAACAGGGCAGCAAGTAATAAATGTTGGAGAGGATGTAGTAAGAAAGGAACTCTTTTATATTGGTGGTGGGATTGTAAAATGGTACAACCATTCTGGAAGTCAGTTTGGTGCTTCCTCAAAAAAGCTCAACATAGAAATTCCCTATGACCCAGCTATTCCACTACTTGGAATATGCCCTGAGAAAATGAGAACTAAGGCACAAATGGAGATTTTTACACCAATGTTCATCGCAGCATTATTCACAACCACAACCACAAGAGCATGGAAACAACCCAAATGACCAACCACAAACAAATGGATTGAGAAATTATGGTATAATCACATAACGGAATACTATGCTGCACGCAGGAGCAATGACTTTGTAAATTATTACCTCACTTGGAGGGACTGGAGAGCATTACCTTAAGTGAACTCAGTCCCATAAGGATAAATATTGTATAAAACCGTTATCATAGAATGAGTATAAGGATCCAAGAAAGATGGGAAAGGGTAGAAGCAGAGGGATGAGGGTGTGTAGGGGAAGGGGAGAATTAATCATGGGATTGTACAATTTGATGGGTGGGAGGGTAAGGGAAATGGAAAGAATCTGTTCTTGAAAACAATGTGTTTAAATTTTTTAAATGAGTATAAACTTTTTTTTCATTCTATTATTGTGTGTGTGTGTGTGTGTGTGTGTGTGTACCGTCAAATCAGATCTGACTGGTACAGGAGGAGATTGTTCCTCCTTCTCCAGCAAAGCATCTGGTGGATTTGAACCATACACCTCTGGTATTGCAGCACACCTTCTTGCCACTAGGCCACCAGAGCTCGCCCTAAATTAGTATAAAATTTTTAAAAATCCTTGACAATTAAAAAAAAAAAGTACTCAGTAAAATAAAATACATCAAAGCATTTTAGAAAAGTTTTGCCCTCTTATTTCATGGGTCTTGTAAGATCCCATAGCACAGTTATGGAAATGGGCATGGCCCAGTTATAAAGAGCACAGTGTGTTTATTTAAGACATTTTTCTTGTGTAGCATCCATTGAGGTTTTCTAGTTAATGTCTAGTTCTCCAATACAAATATTTAATTATTTTAACAATATTTCCTTTGCTAGAAATCTTTCACTTGATAAAGAAGAGGGGTGAGGTGGGTCAATGACACTGAAGATGTTTCACTTTTGATTCATATACTTGTAAAATGTTCAATTTTTCAGAGACACATACTGATTTTATGGTAAAGCCCAAAAAATAAATTAGCTTTAAACAATTTTAAAGAATAAAAGCTTGAATACAAAAAAACCTCTTAGAACCATCTTTAGACTTATGGATAGATAACTTCATACAATTCAGGTTCTCCAAAGCAGGATGTGGCCTGAATTTTAGAATTCAATTTCTACTCATTTCTGTCACTGAACTCGTTAATGCTCACGTCTAGCTCCAAGCAGTTTTTAACATCTGGCACATCAATAGTCTTTAAAAGTAAATATCATATCAAAGTCAAATTATAATTTGGATTTGAAACATGAGAAATGCAATAAAAGGCATGAAAAGAGGCCTTTCTTAATCTCTGTTTACAAATTCAGTTCGCTAGAGAAAATGATACTGTTATTAACTAGATACCCAGAAATCTGAAGTAGGAGCCACTCAAGTGCTAGACAAGGACATAGATTTCAAAGGCAATCAAACACTGACTGACCTTCCAGCTCCTTAATGGCTTTAGCTGACTGAACAGACTGCTCATGGTTCTCTTGAAGGAGCTTTGAATTCTGCTCCTTCAGAGCATCAAAGGAAGACTGTAGCTCTTGTTCAATCTTCTGAAGACTCAAAACGTGAACAGTTTTCTCCTCCATCTCCTCTCTGTGCTTTTGCTCCAGGGCTTTATATTGTGACTCGAGGTCAGCCTGGGCCTGTCTTGTATGATCAAGCTGTTCAGCAAGATGATGCGTTTCTTCCTGTAGCTTGAGGAAGGATAAGTTCTTCTCTTCCAACTCAGATTCCATTTGTTTCATGAGGATCTTAGACTCCTGCCTTTCCGTTTCGAGAGTGCTCCTTAAACTATTCTTCTCCTCTTCCATCTCTTTCACCTGCTGGACTAGAACCTGAGGGAAAAAACACAGCACCTCATGAGCCATAAATGGATTCTTTCATTTCTTAAACACAGTCAAGTGTCTTTGCTAGGTAACGCACTGGGCCAGGCACTCAGGATCAAACCTACACTTGTATGTTGTTGTTTATGCAGATTCTGACTTAAAGTGTCCCTAGACAAAAACGTAAAATCCATGCACAATTTCCCAGGCTATAATCTTTATAGGATCATCAAGTCTCCTCTTCTATAGAGCAGCTGGTGAGTTCAAGGTGCTGACTTCTCACTGAGCAACTGAAAGCTCTTACTTTTGATTTTTTGTATGTGTGATAAATTAGATCTATACTATACCTTCCTTTATTTATTCATGTAGTTGCAGTTTTCATTTCATTTTTGTCCCTCTCATTAAAAAGAAATAAACTACACTTCCTAAGTACAGGTCTGTGTGTTTCTTTTATCTTCTTTATTCTCTAGCACCTAGGACAATAAATGGCGCATATATATACTAATAAACACTGAATGATTATATAAATCTAACCCATAGCTTCAGGGAGCTGAGTTGAGTGAAAAAGTATACCTAAAAAAGTATAGTTAAAAAGATAATTTTAATACAAATTATGGTAGCTATACTAGGAATATTTATATTAATTGAAAAGGGATGGGGTAAGAAGCTTTCCTGAAGGAAGAGCAACCTAATCTGAGATATAAATAATGAGTGGTTAGCCAATTTAATGCGAGCTCTATGGTAAGACACTATGTGGTCAGCAATCCCAAAGATATGCAGTTCATATCCATCAGCCACTCCGTAGGACAAGGATGGACAATCTGCTGTGTTATTAATTGCCTCAGAAAACTCACTGGAGGGTGAGCTGAGTCAGTTCCAACTCTAGAGTATATAACAACACACCAACAAAAACCAATCTGATAGACAAAACGAGTGGTAAAGGCATAGAGGCAGACCATTTATAGGCAAAGCACAAAACCAAAGAAGACTTGTTGCTGTCAAGTCCAGTCCAAGTTTTATTCACATAAATTCTATATAACAGTGTGAGTGCTATAGTTCCCAAGGCTGTCAATATTTACTGAAGCAGATCCTAAGTCTTTCTCCTGCTGAGAAGTTGGTAGGTTTAAACTATCACCTTTCGGTCAGTAGTTGAGCCCTTAACCACTGTACTTAATTAGAGCTCTTAGAGGTCTGAGGGAGAAAAAAAGAGGTATCTATCTAGTATGTAGTGTGGAGTTGTTAGTGGGAATAGTTCTGTAGGAAATAATAAGAGATGAGACCAAAGAAATAATAAGAAATGTCCAACCACAAATGAATGGATTGATAAATTATGATACATTCACACAATGGAATACTATGCAGCATGCAGGAGCAATAACTGTATAAATTATTACCTAACTTGGGAGAGACTGGAGAGCATTATGCTGAGTGAACTAAGTCACACAAGGATAAATATTGTATAAGACCGTTGTTGTAGAATGAGTATAAGGATCCAGGAGGGGTGGGAGAGGCTGGAAGCGCAGGGATGTGGATGTACAGGGGGAAGAGGGGATTAATCATTGAGTTGTACAATTTGATTGGGGGGTGTGGGGGGGTGAGGGAAATGTAAAGAATTTGTCCAAATTTGTATTAGAATTTTTTTAATAAACTAATGAAAAGGAAAAAAGTCAACTTGGGGAAGGGGAAAGGAGGGAGAGGGGATAAATATGCAACAATGAATGAATGAAAATCTTTTCTGTAAACTTTTGTTAAAATGGAAATAAAAAATTTTTATTAAAAAAAAAAGGAGAAATAATAAGAAACCAAGCATTAAGCTTCTTATATATAATTAAGGTCTTCTTACATATCATTAAGGTAGTTGAAGTCCTGGAAGGACACATGATGACCATTTGGACCACTCTTTTCTAACCATATTTGTACTGCCTGTCCAAACAGCCACATTGTGGTGCAGAATCAATCCTTAAGAATGGTCTTAGAAGCAAGTGTGGCAAGACTTTGTCTCACACTTTGGCTATGCTTTCAGGAGTGGCAGGACCCTGGAGAAGGACATGACACTGGGAAAGGCACAGTGCTGGGCAGTGTTTTATCTGGTTGAACAAAGGGTCACTATAAGCCAGAAACAATAGTCATCATTTAACACCAGTGTTCTCTGAACGCTTCAATAGGATTTTATATTTACTATCTCACAAACTAAAGAGGCAGTGAATACTCATGTCAAATAAAATGAAACCCACTGCTGTTAAGTTGATTCCAACTCATAGCAACCTTAACAGAGTAGAATTGTACTATAGGATTTACAAAGCTGTCATCTTTCTGAAAACAGCTTTCTCCTTGGTGGGTTCAAATGTCAACATTTTGGTAAGTAGCCAAGTTATAAACAGCTTTATCATCAAGACTCTGTATTCCCAAGGCAGGCGGTCAAAAGTGTTAAGTACCTCGTTGCGCTGCTCAGCAGTATTCAGCTCTTGCTGCAGCAAGTCCACTACTTGAGCACGACCAGACAGGGCTTCTTCATGCTCTTCAAGCTTCCTCTGCAACACTCTCAGGTTCTGACAAAAAGTGTTGAGATATTATATACTAGCAAAAGAGCACTATTACCTGCTTCCCTTTCAAAATGTCTCAAATTTGTGTTCTTAAGATTTTTTAGATGATGAAGATGATAGATTAAAGGATGAAATAAAAGCATGCCATGAGCCCTATACAAAAGTAACAAAGAATGATCAGAAGAGCTTTTTCCAAAGCACTAACCACCACCAAGGTTAGGCACAAATCAATCCATGCGTTAGTGAGCTTTTCCACTTTCAAAATTATAAATAAATAGGTAAATGTGTAGCTCAGCCACCAAAAAAAACCCTTTTTTGGAAGGCAAAAGATATCTTCATATGTACAGGTTAAATACTTAAAAATTATTTGTTGAATAAACAAATAATCCAAACCACATTGGTATCAAGTATTTTCTGACTTAAAGAGATCTTGTAAGACACAAAAGAACTGTTCCACAGGGTTTCCAAGACTGTAAATTTTTATGGAAGCAGACTGACTCATCTTTGCCCCACAGAAAAAGGCAGATGAGCTCAAGTCACTGATCTTTCATTTGGCAATGGAGTGCTTGCACCAATTAACCACAAACAAATTAGTTTGGTCCCAAACTAATGACAAACATATACAATTAATATTCTACTTAAGAAACTATTATATCCCTGCTTGTCACTTACCAACCTGCTAGGGTCCAAGAACAGGGCTATTATTGAGAAAATCAGTATTATGCAAAAATGGAGAATGAAAAGGAAAAATTGGCAAATGATCACGTTGGAGCATAACATGGAAGATGACAATACTATTATGTAACTATCAAAACACTGATAATCATTACCAAGCCATGCTGATATGTAATCTTAACCATCTCGACCAGCATTACTCTTGTCTCACACCTTGGCATTAATTACTATCAGATATATGTTGATAATGAGCAAAATAGTTAAGATAATATACTTTTTATTATTTTTACTATTGCCATAAACAGGAAATGACAGACAACAGCAAAGTTCATAAGTGAGGAACGGGGGTATTCTGTAAGTTTCATCAGTGTTATAAGCAAAATGACTACTCAGAATTTGGCAAAAGTTTCAAAGACAAATTAATCAACCACAAATTACTACAGGAGTGCTTCTGGAAACCATACAATACTACACATTGACCAAAAACAAACACCTTTGAGTTAGCAGACAGTGAACTAAAATGACAATGAAGCCAATTTTCAGTAAATTTTTTGAGAAAGGAATAATTACTGATTTGATAAAAAACTTCATACTTTAAAATAATTTCATCTTTAATTTTTAAGAATGTTTTAAATTGGCTTTATTGATAAAAGCTTAGCTTCAAACAGAAACTAAAGAAAAACCAATTTCTACCTAGCACATTTATTCTACAATTAAATTCTGTTTTTCAATACCAACAACCAGATTGGAGGGGTAAAAGGCAAGGCAAGGATATGTGCAAAAGGAAGACAAGGACACCAAAAAGCAGCCAACCAAGGGGTACACCATGACCGGGAGGAAAGCAGTACACTGTGACCAGGAGGAAAGCAGTGGGTGTGGGAAGAGAAGTGACCGTGACACAGTTAATGTTAACCAAAATGATCATTCGACTAAATTTTAGCAACACACCTGCTGCATCTGTGTTTCCACATCTGCCTGTGTTACTAACTGAAGAAGCTCATCTTCATGAAGACGAACTTGTGTCTCAAAGCGGGCATCTTTCTCTCGAACCACCTGCTGCATGGAGCTCAACTGAAGACATACCAGAAAAACTACACATGTTACACTCCCAGCATATTACTCAAACCTCACAAACTACTCTCCAAAGACAGACTCTGAAAACTTACAAGTTGTAGAATTTATTTATTTTTTTTTCAATTTAATATCAGAACTGAGAATGTTGGCAGAAAGACAGTTAGACCTGACAGTAAGTTCCAAATATGACAGAAGGCCTATTTAGGCTCAAATTTAAAAACCAATGTAAATATAAAGCTTAATTAAGAATGATGGTTATGTAGTTATCTAGCTTGCTTTAAATAAAGTTCTGAGGCCAGAATACCAAATAGAGAAATGAAGTATAATTTCTGTTAAATCCTAGATACTTTTTGAAAGTCCCATATATGACTAGAAAGTTCAATGAAATTGTCATGCCATTAAAGTTAAAATTCCAACTAATGTATATTAGTATATTCAAGATTATTTACAACTGGAAATGCAAGTCAATTTTTTAGCCTTATTTTTAAGGGCTTGCATCCACACAAAAAAACCTGGCATGTTTCCAAATGTATACCAAATTCCCATACAGCTATTTTCAGTTGTCACAACCTTCAGTTTTCTAAATCATACACAATAATTTATTTTATTCTGTCCAGGGTAAAGGAGAGATACATGGATTGACTGCAAGCTATTGTAGGGTTTTTATTTGGGGGATATGTATGCCTATAATCATGATAGAGCATATTGATCAATTATTTTGTGACTTTTAAAACTATTCTTTGATTTCCTACTTTGTAACATCTTGAATTGGCTTTAGAGGTCCTTGGTATCAACCTTCAAAACTATTTTATTATATAAAATCTCATCTGACTATATAGTTTGGAATTCAGTGGAGTTTTTCATTACTCAAACATATCTACACATCCTTTCCCATACAATTTTTTTTAAAAAAAAAACCCAAAAACCTGAAACTCACTGCCATCAAGTTGGGACCACCTTATGTTTGATCCTCCATTGGATTTTTTTGGAGGCTGTAAATTGCACAGGAGAAACTACCACTGTATTTCTTCTACAGAACATCTGGTGGATAAAAATCTCCTACCTTTTGGTTAAGAGTGAAACTCCTTACCACTAAATCACGAGAGCTCCGTGTGTGTGTGTGTGTGTGTGTGTGTGTGTGTGTGTGTTGTTGTTGTTGTTGTTAGGTGCCATCAAGTCTATTAATGACATTATAAACAACAGATTGGAACCTGCCCTACATCTCTGATATGTTCAAGCCCATTATTACAGTTATTGTGTGAATTCATCCTGTTGAGATCTTCCTGTCTTTCTCTGACTTACCACCTTTCACAGTATGACATCCTTTTCCAAGGACTAGTCCCTCCTGAAAACAGGCTCAAAGTATGTGAAATGAAGTTTCACCATCCTTGTCTCTAAGGAGTACCCTGGTTGCACTTTCTCCAAAGCAGATTTGTTTGTAATTTGCTAACCTGTGAAATGTTCAATAGTCTTCTCCAATGCCACAATTCAAAGGCATCAATTTTTCTTCTGTCATTTTTATTCACTGTCCAACTTTCAAATGCATAAAAAGTAACTGAAAAGGCCATAGCTTGGATGAGAGGCACCTTAGTCTTTAAACAGACATCTCTGCTCTTCAGCACTATGCAGAAGTCCTTGACAAAAGATTTTTCCCAATACAACATGCCTTGATTTCTTGACTCCTGCTACCACGAATGTTGATTGTGGATTTAAGCAAAATGAAGTCATTGATAACTTCAATCTTTTCTCCATCTATCATGGAGGATTTCTGTTTTGTTGATGTTCAGATATAATCTACATTGAAGGCTGTAGTCTTTGATCTTCTGCAGCAAGAGTTTTGAGTCCTCTTTATTTTCAACAAATTTGTATCATCTCCATAATGCAAGTTGTTGGTTAAGTCTCCAATCCTGATGCCATATACTCCACCTTCTCAAAGGATTTGTTCAGCATACAGACTGAACAGCTATGGAGAAAGGAAGTAACGCTGATGCACATCTTTCCTGGTTTTAAACCATGTATTGTTCCCTTGTTCTGTCTGGACAACTACTTCTTGGTCTGTGTATGTGTTTCACATGACCACAATTAAATGTTTTGAGATTCCCATCATTTGTTATGATCCACACAGTCAAATGCATTTATACACTCAATAAAACATAAGTATCTTTTTGGTCTTCTCTGCTTTCAGCTACAATCTATCTGACATCAGCAATGACATCTCTCCAGCCAAGGCTACTTCTGAATCTAGCTGGCATGTCCCTGTCAATGTACTATTCCAGTTCTTTTTGAATGAATTATCTTCAGCAACATTTTTCTTATATGTGACATTAATGATACTGTTCGATAATTTCCACATCCTGCTGAATCACTTTTCTTAGGAATAGGAACAAATAGCGATCTCTTTCCGTTTTTGTGCTTGCTTTGGCACTTTTTCAGAACCACTCACATCTTAATAAATCTGTTAATGTATTTAATATATCTGGGCTTCCTACGCATTAAAGCAACTCACAGAGAAGAATCTTATTATACACTTATACATCCTATACTGTACAGAGTATATTTACTCTACAGGAAAAAAATAACAGCTAGTAGGTAAAATTAAAAATTTAAAGATACATAATTTTAACTGTATATACAGCAGTTATCAAACTTGAAACCCTATACTATCCTATACCATGTCACAAACTCTGCCATGCTCCAATCCATTTTTTAAGTTACTGTATCAATCCATCTCTTTGTCTTTCTTTTGCCAAGCTTCTAATTTCTTAGCATGATGTTTTTTCTAGGCCTGGCTCCTGACAACATGACCAAAGCACACGAGATAGTTTCCCCTTCTTTGCTTCCAAGGTTCACCTTGGTTGCACTTCCTCAAAAATGATTTGTTTGTTCTTTTGACAGTTCAGGGGATATTAAATACTCCTCATCAATATCACATTTCAAAGGCATCAATTCTTCTTTAGTTTTCCTAATTTGTTTTCCAACTTTCACATGCATACACAACAAATACAAGTATCATGATTTGATTAAGTGCATCTTCATTTTAAAACTGACATTCTTGCTCTTTAAGACCTTGGAGAATCTTTGGCAGTAAGATAATCACAACATAGGACCACCTTTTGATTTCCTGACTGTTGCTACATTGGTGATGATTTAAGATCCAAGTGAAATTAAATCCTTGACAATTTCAATCTTTTCTCCAGCTATCATGATTTTGCCTACTGGTCTAGTGTTGGATTTCTGTTTTCTTATTGTTGAGATGTAATCACATAGAAGGCTGTAATTTTTTTATCTTCTGCAGCAAGTGTTTCAAGTTTCCTTCACTTTCTACAGGCAAGATTTTTTTTTAAATTATTTTGTGTGTGTGTGTGTACCATCAATCAGATCTGACTGGTACAGGAGGAGATTGCCCCTCCTTCTCCAGCAGAGCATCTGGGGGATTCAAACCGTGAACCTCTGAGACTGCAGTGCAGCTTCTTGCCACTAGGCCACCAGAGCTCCCTTTCAGGCAAGATTTTATAATGCAAGGTGATGACAATTCTTCAATCCTGATGCTTCATTCTTCTTCATATAGTCCACCTTCTAGAATTATTTGATAAGTACACAGATAAAGCAGGAATGGAGAAAAGAAACAACACTGATGCACTGGTTTTAAAATATACAGCATTTCTTCTGTTTGGACAACTGCTTCTTGATGTGTCTACAGGCTTTGCAAGAGCTAAATTAAGTGTTCTGGGATGTCCATTCTTGTTGGTATTATCTTTAATTTGCTATGACCCACATAGGGTAATGCCTCTGTATACTCCAAGTAAACATCCTTCTGCAACTTTCTGCTTGCAGCTACAATTCTTGGCTTTCAGTTGATTCTTGTCTATGTACTGCTCCAGTCATCTTTTTCTCTAAAATGAGTATTATTTATAAAATTTTTTTCCCTCCAGCCCTCTCCTTCTCCCTTCCCATTTGATGAGTGACACTTGTCCTGTTCCAAATTATTAATTGCAGTACACCTACTGTGGACTCATCCATGATCTTCCCTTCCCTTAAGCTATAACAGTTTTCACTGTCAGTCCATTCTATTTCTGCTCTCCTTGTCCACCACCATAATGCTTTCTTTTATATAACAGAGGTCTTATAAATATTTGTTCTTTTGTGACTGAGTTATTTCACTCAGTGTAGTGTTTCGTGAGTTCATTATTTTTCTTTTTTTTTTTTTAGTTCATTATTTTTCAATGCTGCATATTATTCTGTGTGACCACGATATCTCTATTTACTCATTGGTTGATGGGCACTTGGGTTGCTTCCATCTCCTTACTACTGTCAAAAATGTTGCAATAAATATGTTCTTGTTAATGTGCCATTAGGTCAAGTACAACTCATAGTGAACTTAGGAACAACCGATCTAAAACCTGTCTTATCCTGTGCTGTGTTCATCAGTGCTAATATACTTGAGCCCCTTGCGGTAGTCATTTTGTCAATCCATCTCATTGAGGGTCATCTTCTTTTTCACTGACGTTCTCCCTTTCCTACCCTGATGTCCCTTGCCAAGGAATAGCCCTTTCTAGCAATATATTCAAAGTATGTGAGACAAAGCTCCATCATCCTTGCCTCTAAGGAGCACTCCTTCTAGACCTTCTCCAAGACAAATCTGTTTGTTCTTTTAGCAATCCATGGAATACTGAGTACTCTTCTACAACACTCCAACTTCAAGGCATCAATTTTTCATCAGATTTTCTTTAATCATCCTCTCAGGTGCATAGCAAGTGGTTGAAAAGATCATGGCCTGGCTTAGAGGCACCTTAATCTTTAAACTGACGTTGCTTCTCAGTACTTAGGAGAGATCCCTTAGTGCAGACTTTCTCAATACAATGCATCTTTTGATATCTTGACTGCTGGTGCCAAGGGTGTTGATTGTAGATCCAAGTAAGAGTAAATCCTTGATAATGCCAATCTTCTCTCCATCTATCATGATGTTACCCAAAGGCCAAGAGATGAGGAGTTTTGTT